CTTTCCTGTCTGCGGGTTTATGGGTACCGCTTCGTGGGGGGGGGGGGTGTGTTTTTGGCTGAGGCTGTGGGGCTGGGATGTTGATGTTGTTGTTCTCCCCGCCCCCCCGTCGTGTTTTAGTGGGTTTCTCGTGGGGTCTGAGCGGGTGTGGGACGTGAAAATGTGGGTGTGAAGGGTTTAAAGTATCATGGAATCACAGAATGGTTTGGGTTGGAAAGGACCTTCAAGACCATCCAGTCCCAACCCCCTGCATGGGCAGGGACACCTCCCACCAGCCCAGGCTGCTCCAAGCCCCATCCAACCTGCCCTTCAACACTGCCAGGGATGGGGCAGCCACAGCTTCCCTGGGCAACCTGGGCCAGGCTCTCACCACCCTCACACTCCACAATTTCCTCCTCATGTCTCACCTCAATCTCCCCTCCTCCAGTTTTCATCCATCCCCCTTGTCCTCTCCCTCCCTGCCCTTGTCCCAAGTCCCTCCCCAGCTTTCCTGTAGGCCCCCAGTTCTGTTCTGTGGTTAGCAATTTTCAGTGGAATACCAGTACGAGTTCTATCTACTGCACCCTCTAAAGTGTTGGGGACTAATTATTCCAGGAAAACACTTAAATACATGTTTAAGTTTATGTTGGAGAGTAACCTCACCAAAGCCAGTGAAACTATTTCGTGCACATAAATGCTGCATTAGTTGAACTCCAGGATACTCAACTCTTGGCAACATTGTCCTGTGTGAGAAGCAGGTCTGAGAAGATCCTTGAGAAGCAGAAGCAAAGTTAGAAGCAGGTTCTCTCCTTGGATTCCTGCTTCTTTTTGCCTCAAATAATCCCATGCATGGAGCAGTTGTGTAGTTTATTCTAGTATCTCACCCAGTCTGCTTCTGCTGTTGAAGAAAAAAAATGCATGTTAGCACAGTTCACCAGTCTGGTTGGTGCTGAAGTAGGGCACAAAGACATGCATTGTTCCCAGGGTGACCAAAGCTGAACAGATTTAATGTTTTCCAGCAGCGTTCAGAAGTAAGAGCAGTATCAGTCAGTTATTTTGGGGTTTGGGTACTTGTCTTTGCTTGCTAGAATTTTTATTTTCCACTGAAGAAAATGAGTTATGCTGAACATAGAAAGCACTGAACCTACCAGGATCTTCAATACTTCAGAGTTTATACTTGCTGGGACACTAGTGAGTTGAAAGCAGAATAAGAAAAAGGTAGATATTAAAGGTAGATTTGAAAAGCTGTCAGGGATCTGTCTGCTTTGAGAGAACCCACCTTGGAGAATGGTCTTTTCAGGCTGCTGTAAACTTAAAATAAGTAGCTTCTAAAAAACCCAGCTCTGGAGTTGCCCTGACTTTGCCATCCAGACCTTCTCCCCAGATAACTGATTTCTCAGTGCAAGACATTTTTCTCCCATTCCTGTTTTGCTCTTTTAATTACAAATTATCACAAAGGCATTGAGGGCAGTATCAGGGTATCAGTATCAGAAAAGCTCCAGACAGGCTTGAGGTCTGGACAGATCCCTACAGCATCTGCCTACATGGTATTTATGACTGGCCTGTTTTGGTCTGTATTTGAAGTACTGGTGTGCTGCATTTGATGATATCCATTATAGAATCCTTATAGAGCTCTCTGAATTTTGGCAAACTTCCTCCTTACAAGTTGCAAACAGTCTGAATATAATTTTTTTCCCCAATTTTTTTCTTTTTACTCTCCACAACTCTTTCTTTCTGCACTTCAACAGTGCAGGCATCAAAATGATGATCTGTGTGTTTCCTTGATGTCACTCTCTACACAGAATGCTCTGATTATCCATTTTTTCACTTGTGTTTAGCTATCTACCCTTAAATTCTAGCTGACTGTCTCCTGTTCCAGAAAGGAATGTCTGCAATTTCTCCAAGTCTGACTTCATTAAAAACAAATTCTCTTTCATGGAACAAAAATAAGCATGGACAAGTTCACACATTCCTCTAGTCTTACAGCAATAACTTTACTCCATTGTATCTTCTTCAGAAGTAGGAAGAAGATTCCCTTTGCCCTGAGTTTCATTTACCATGTGATCTGAAGCCTCCACTGACATTTTTTTGTAGTTCACCAACCTCAGTACATATTGCTTCCACAAATGACAGTGCAAATTTCATATTGAATTTGACTGAGAATTCCTTATGTCACGTTGGGTGCTTTGCTTAGCATGGTGAGCTGGTGCTTTTCATCCAGAATAAGTTCCTGGAGCCCTCAACACAGGAAAGACATGGATCTGTTTGAAAGGGTCCAGAGAAGGACCATGAAGGTGATCCAAGGGCTGGAGCAGCTCTGCTCTGAAGACAGGCTGGGAGAGTTAGGGGGTTCAGCCTGGAAGGTCTCCTCCAGGGAGACCTTAGAGCACCTTCCAGGGCCTGAAGGGGCTCCAGGAAAGCTGGGGAGGGGCTTGGGACAAGGGCAGGGAGGGAGAGGACAAGGGGGGATGGATGAAAACTGGAGGAGGGGAGATTGAGGTGAGACCTGAGGAGGAAATTGTGGAGTGTGAGGGTGGTGAGAGCCTGGCCCAGGTTGCCCAGGGAAGCTGTGGCTGCCCCATCCCTGGCAGTGTTGAAGGGCAGGTGGGATGGGGCTTGGAGCAGCCTGGGCTGGGGGGAGGTGTCCCTGCCCATGCAGGGGGTTGGGACTGGATGGTCTTGAAGGTCCCTTCCGACTTTAACCCTTCTATGTTTCTTTAATGTCATAGCATTTATCACAATTCTTTTTCCTGTTAGAAGTTGTGAAAACGGGTCTAATTTTTAGAGAAATTCCAGGCTTCAGGCATTCTGTTAACCTGACCATGCAGACCAAGTGTATCTGGTCATTAACAGCACAAATGCTTCTGGGAGGCATCTCTTCCGACTCCAGTGTGCTCCTCCCAAGCTGACCCTAGAGCCCACTGAAGTTGCTCCATGCAACTTAATTTTATTGATGTTATATTGAGATACAGAGCTCTGCAAGATTGGACTGTTACCTCTTTCTCTGGCCTCACTGTGCTTCACCATGAAAGCAGCCTTCATGTTCCTACCTTAGAGCACAGAAAAAGTAATGTGATATTTTTAGGGTTTAGTGTGTTTTCCGATTTATGTAAAATTGAAGACACAAAACTATGTGCAGAAACAAAGAGCAGAGGTGTTTCACACGGCGTGAACGAGAGGTTCCTGCCCTTCCTCACCCAGCTGAAGTTGTCAGTGGGCTTTCACAGCTCTCCTGGTTGGGATCCAGTGGTTAGATGAGAGCAGTGACTGGTGCATGGCCTCCAGTGAGCAGGCTGTGGAGGGTGTGGTATCCTTACACACCCACTGTCTCCTTGGGTTCTCCATTCTGAACTCCAACTCCCCCAGAAGCTTTCTGTAACCCATAAACCTGGTATTTAATGAGAAGGTAGGTTCTTCACACTTTTCCTAGAGGAAAGCCACAAGCTTGCAGATGACCCTTGGACATAGCCAAGTAGAACCATCAACTAGACAGTAAAGAGAACTCTATTTAGTGGTTGACTGACACTGCACTTAACTTGGCTGAGAACAAACTGGCTGCAAATAGTTTGGGGGTTTATGTAGGCTTTCTCTTCTTGTGGATTTGGGTGGGGTTTTTACCTCACTAGAAAGGCTTCTCTCTGCTCAACAGCACTTCTCATGCAAAGAGATTTTGCAGCTTGCATTGTTTTGCAGCTTGACATTATTGCAGCTAATTATTAATTCTACATGGGGAAAAGATATGGGAATAAAAGGGCAAATTCAACAGTCTGGAGGTTGCAAATGATCCATGAGTTTGACTTGCTGAAATTGAGATCCACTGAGCTAAGATCACCAAAAGGAATGTTTGTCTGCTGCCCATAGCCAAGCCCATCTTTAAGCAGCTATCCTTGCTTCCTGCACATAAGGAAGCAGGTTGGAAGACTCATGTAAATTGTTATTGTATCCTTTTCATTGAGATTAATTGTGTAACTATGGTTGTCTTCTTGTCAGGAACAGGATTATGTGTTTCTCTGGAACATTTAATACTACCTGTCTGGAAAAGGGTGTTTATGGCCTTAGCAGTTTGGTTTTGCCTGCACAAGCACTTACAGTAATAATAGATGTAAGCTGAGGAAACAGCTGAATTTTGACATGGAATCTGCTCCCATGTCTTATGTCTTTTTCCTTCCAGCAGTGGGTGTGGACATGCTGGACTTCCAGGTGTGTGCCAGTGTGGTTTGTGTGCTGTGTGAAGGCTGATGGCAGCTTGGCTTGGCCACTTGTTGTGTGGGACCATAAGCAGTTACACTGTTGAGTCAGCTTCTCCAGTGCTCACGTTTTCATGAGCTTCAGACAGGTGGCAAGTTTCTTGAGCTGCACAGCCCTTGGGAGGCTGGTTTTCATCCCCCTCTCTCTTCCTGCAGCACTCCAGCTCGCGCCTGAGCTACCAAAGCAACATTCAGGGATCTTCTCAGTCCCAGAGTACAATGGGCTATTCCACGTCGTCTCAGCAGAGCTCCCAGTATCACCAGTCTCACCAGTCTCACCGGTACTGAGCGGGCTGCGCTCGGAAAGGAACGGACTAAAAGCCAGAAGACTCCAGCAATATGAAGTTCATATCGACGAGAAGAACCAAAAATACAAACTGTGATGCAGAGTTAAAATTCATGGTGACAAAAGGAAAAACTTCCCTCACTGAAGATTTTTCCCCCCCTCTCTCCTCCCCCTGCCCCTTTTTTTGCCATAAAGGAGATTCTCGTGGAGTTTTCCTCCTTCCCTGCCCTTGCATGTGCTCTGTTGTGGTTACTCTGATGAACCCTTCTGATCTGAACCCAGCACTTAACTTCTTTAACCTTTGGAATTTTGAAGGATTCCTGGTGCACCTTCCTTATGCTGTAGTGATTGCCATAAATCTGTCTTTTCAATCTCTTTGATGGGATTTTAAAGTTTTGAAATCTTGAACTCCCAGGCTTTCAAGCTTGTATATAGTTAGTTTTGTACTAGGCAAACCAGTTTAGCTATACAGGTATATTGCACCTTTTTAAAGCACTATGTTATTTTCACAGGTTATTACTGTTTTGCTCATGGATGTCAAGAACAGCAAAATTTTACTGTTCCAGAGTATTTTACTATTCTGTTTTTATTAGTCTAGTTTTCAGGCGAGGTCTTAAGAATTAAAAAAAAAAAAAAAAGTTAAAAAATAAAATTTAAGAAGAAAAAAGGAAAAAAGGAAAAAAAAAAAGCCACCCACCCAAGTCTCTGCAGTGACAAATATGCTTCGTGCTACTGGACTGAAGGCCAAACAGAAGATTGCTGATATTTCTTAACTCATTCACATTGAATTCTTGAAATCACAGTGATCATGCTCTGGCTACTTTTAAATTCAGCATTATTTTAAATGAAACCAGGACAGTCACATAAAAAGGAGATGCTTTCAGAATCTGTTGGAACAGAAGAATGGAATGTCTTCCCAGGCTGGACACCAAAATAGTCAGGAAAATATATTTACTGCCCTCAAGTATCAGTAGGAATGTGGATGATGGGCTCGTTTTTCTTTTAAGCAGCTGATTAATGTATGTGAGAATTCTATAAGCTGAGTTTTCTTTCACATTCCTGAGTCAGTTTTCTAAATATAAAGGTGACAGAAATGCTAAGACTCGTGAAAACATTTAATCATTTTATGTTTGAATTAATGATGAAGAGAAGTTATTGTGCTCTTTGAAAAGCACGTTGGACACTGTTCCTTTTCCATGTTTGAAATGCAGATTCTGTGTCCCTCACATTGCTGGGATGAACCCAGATTAGTTACACCAGATGCACTTGATTGCACTGAAATGTTTCCTTTTCCCTAGAGCAAACATGTTTGGATTGTGCCTAAGGACTCTAAGTGGACGGGTAGCTGGCAGAAAATCCCCAGCAAACAAGCAGGAGTTCAGAAGCATCATCAGAGGATTATTGTCCAGCTCCTGCAACCACAGTTATTCAGAGAGACACAGGGTGGAATCTGGGACAGCTTCGTGTTTCCTGCAGCCTTCGGAAGCAAGGCTGGCTTTTGGTGCAGAAAACCTGGAAAAATGCATTGAAGAAAGCTACCAGCAATGTCCCTTCAGTCAGCTTCTGCAGCTGGATGTCCTGAGAGGAGGAGAAGAGTTTCTGTGTCAGCAGTTCACATTGCAGGCTGTTATGCTGCAGTGTGTTCTCTTCTGTCCTGTGTCCATACAACACAATTGTATGTATCTCTGCACATTCCCACTGAAGCTGTGATCAGACCCAACAAGAGGAGTCAATCTGTTTGCTCTGAGGAGAATGCTTTTCATCACAGCTAGACATGGACATGTTGCTACTGGATTCCATCTCCCAATCACCTCGAGTGCCCCCTTCCTTCTCAAGCACGTGTTGTTTCCATGCCTTTTGTGAACAGTTGGCTTGCTTTGCCCATATCTACCCTCCTGTGGCTGTGACAACACCCAGCTCCTCTGGAAAAGCAGTGAAAACCTGCTTGTGTCATCAAAGGGGTGAGAAGGTGGTGAAAATGCAATGAAGCAATTTTAAGGAAAACAAAATATTTGGGGGGAAATCTCCCAAAGGATACTTTCAGTGTGTAACCCTTGAGATGCCACATATTATATGTACCCTAGAAGCCTGTTTGAAAGAACAGATTATTTCTTTTTTCCATTAAGGCTGAGGTCACATTCTTTCCATAAATGGAAAGTCTCACCTCTTACTGATGCTGGGTGAGGTGCCTTTGAGCTACTGGAAATCTGGCCAATGCCATAAAGTAACATTTACTTTATATTTTTGAATGCCACACTTCTGGAAATTAACCTTTGGCAGAGTAATTTTTGTCCTCTCCAGTTCTTTTCACCCTTCTGTTCCCTCAAAACCCTGTTGTCTTTTCCCTGACAGTTATCTAACATTTTTTTCTCCCTGCTGTGACCTGCAGCTGATCATCAAAATTCATGTCACGTCAGGAGGTGGCAGGAAGATGTGTTACCTTTTGGTTAATTAAGGTGGGCTCTCGTGTCAATAAGGCAAAGTCATGGTGTAGATTAATCTGTGTGTGGAGTGTGGAACTTCACAGCAGTGTCAGGTGCTCCAGTTGTGTGAGCTTCCAGCTTCTAGAGCAGCTGCCACGACCTCTCTCTGAGCTGGACCCGTTTCTCCCTTGGGTAGGTCTGACGTGCCCACGTATTGCTCCTCTCTAGCTTTGGTGTGCACACCTGAAGCCCAGCTTGCCTCCTCCCTTGCCTTCAACTCACAACTAGGAGGAGAGCAGAGAAAAGCAAAAGCATTTGCTGCGAGGTGTAGGCTGTGCACACTCTTCTGGCTCTTTCCTGGGGGAATAATTGGCCTTTTCTCAGGAGCTGGGCTGGGCGGGTGGGTGGCAGTCATGGTGAAAGAAGCCTCATGCCTTCCAGGGCTCCTCCCAGGAGGTAAAAACACTCTGCTTTCAGATGTGAATTGTGCAGCGTGTCATGGGAAGCCAAGACGACACCATTTTTAGGTTATTGTTTTGCCTGTGCAGTTTCATTAGTGCTCCCAGCTCTGTCTCTGCCCTCACCCAAGTGTTTCACAGCGGTACCGAGAGGCAGGTGGCACCGGCAGAGGTGGCTTCTCCATCCTGCTCACCTGGTGGGAGAACAGGCTGCTAAATACAGCTTTGCCCGTGGTGGCTCAGGGGAAACAAACCCCTGGCAGAAGCAACCTGGTCCACAGGGGTGAAATTTCTGTAGCACAAACTGCACAATGAAGGAAAAACCAGAGGGAAGGCTGCGGGTCCAGCACTGTGTCTGTGACACAGGATCTGGGGAGGGGTGGCGGGCAGCTACAAGTGTTCAAATCTGTATCATATTTTATATAAGCATAATAAGCTTAGTTCCCCTTCATAATCTTCAGGAATGGTACTTTAACACCATTAAGCAAAGAGTTGTTTTAGGCTTGAATAAATGTATTGTACATAAGGCCATACGTAATCTTCTAAAAACGTCGCCCGAGGGGAGCGATGTGTATTGCTATATGAAAAAAAAAAAGTCCTTAATGCACTGTTATCTCCTAAATATTTAGTAGTAAATTAATACTATTTAATTTTTTTAAAAATTTGTCTTGTGTAGACACTAAAAAGTATTACACAAAATCTGGGCAGAACATGTCCTTTTTAACAGCAATGGAAAGAACTTTTTATATATGTACGGTAGTAACTTTTCAGGTTGTTCTAGTTGTCTTTTTCCCATGTTTACTATTTGTGGAAGTGTGCCTGTCTCTATTCAGTTAATTTTCTTTTAATTTTTTATTTTTTTCTAACTATTTCATGCACGTGTCTCTCATTTTTGTAGTTTTTCTTAGAAATTATTGTGGATGCTCCTTGTGCTGCCACAAGACTTTGCGGCTCTTTCTCTGTGGTGGCCACACTGGGCAGTGCCCGTGCCAACGGGCCAGCAAAACCACAAAGCAAATTACTTGTTTCTCATTCTAGAGTTGAGAGTTTACTCCTTTTCAGTTGTCCCAATGTCACTCTTTAAATGACTGTTAAAACCTAAACTATGAGTTCATTGCATTTATTTTATATTCTCGGTTGTAATGAAATGGAATTGACTTTGCTTCAGTGTGAATTTTTTTAATAAAATAATATACATTTGTAATAATAATAAAAAGTTGCAATCAAAGAAGCGTGCTGAAAAGCTTTCTGTAAACATTGGCTTTGGGCTACCAAGAGGGAAAATAAAGCCCACAAAATTGCAGTTGTAATTATATTCAGGATGTTCGTGATATCACACACCACAGCAAACAAAGCTTGCAAAACCTCAGAGTTTAAATTGCAGCTTCTAAAATGCCCACGAGGATATTCCTGGGTATGTGTCTGTCAAAATAGAATGAAGCTTTCTGGAGTGGCTCTAGTAGGTTTTGCCCTCTGCCTAGAAGTGTTCTGGCATGCCCCTCCAAGGCCACTGCTTACGCCTTGCACGACAATCCTGCAGACGTGTCTTCTGCAAAAAACCAAAAGCTGGTTTGATGCCTTCTCCAGCTCAGTGCCCTCTGGCTTCTTCCTCCTGCTGGACCTTGGAGGATTTCAAGTATTTCAGATGACAAGATGGAAAGCACAAGCTAGAGCACGTTGGTGGGTTTTCAGAGTGGGTTTTTGTGTGCTTTGCTCACCCATGTGTCACTGCTCCCTCCAGCCTTTGTTTCAGAGATGGATCATTCACTGCTTCCAGGAATCCCACCTGTCTTCTCCTCAGCAGTGACATGGGGAAGAATGGTTGGGATTTGCTTGCACTGCCACACATGCTTTGTTTGGCTTTGTTTCTGGTGTGCCTTTTGCACAAGGCTGAGAAAAGAAGCCTTTTGCCAAAAACACTTGGTCTGCATCTCTGACGCCTCATGGATAAAGAGCTCTTGCTTCAGCCTCAGCACCAGTGAGTATCCCCAGCTCTGTACTGCTCATGGTTTCCTTTCTGCTCCTGCTCTCCTGTTGCTAAGACTGTGCTTAGTCAGCAGCTTTGACTTGGATGTCCTTACAACCTTCTGTGTTGGCTCTGTCCCAGTCTTTGGTTTTCTG